GGCTGAGGATACGGGAAACACCTTCGGGCTACGCCCGGGAATCAATGCTTCACTGAGCAGACTCGGCTACGGATGGAGGCTTAGGGCGTCGGTGGTTTGGGGGGGGGGTCCCCTCTTTCAATCCTTCTCTTCCCCTTCGGGGACAGGTTTGCCGCGCCCCCCCCCCTGCCTCCTTTCCACATGGGCATGGCGTTCCCGAGGTGACAGGATGCACTTGTTCGCGAGTGGCGGCTCCAAGGGTGCCTCAGGGGCCCGAAGACGATCTTTCAAGATGGCTCGCGATTCCCTAATACGCCTCAAGATGCACCCCAAGATGCTCGACAATGCCCCCAGAAAGTCTCAATGCGGCTGGCTACAAGTGGCCACCGAAACCTCAAAGGCCTCCGAGAGGCCAACATCCTGCAACGGCTTGAAAATAACACTGACTGCCTAGAGAGGGCCGAACACGTTCTGGGCCCGCCGACGGGCCCGACTCGGGTTCAGGGGGAGCGATGGGGGCCTTTCGAGGCCACAAGATGGCTCCAAGATTGCCCAAGAGGGCCACAGATGCCCAAGTAATCAATGAGTTATTGCATACGCCCCTTGGGGCTAGCGTCCATAGTGCGCGCAAGCGTCGCCGCATCCCCCGCAAACGTGCGCCTGTGTGCGATGTTGCTTCTGACAATCCTGACTGCGGGGGTGCCTTGCAGGGGTGCGCCTCTGGGGGAATGCGCCCAAAGCGTGCGCAAGCATCGTCGCCTGGCGTCGGCGGCCAGGCATCCGAGATGCCTCTGGCCATCTTGATCGCCCCCCCCCCCCCTCCTCAATCCTCAATCCTCCTCCCCCTCCCACTCCTTCTCATCATCGCCCATCATGTTATTCATAACACGTCGCTCTCCTCTCTCATCAATCCTTCCTCTTCCTTCTCAACCTCCACCTGCAAACGGTTCGGGTGCCCCCCTCGTTGCTCTTACACTACCCTCCTCGCACCTCAACTCGCCTGGGCGCCCTTTCTGTATGGGTCGGTGGAAATATGCGAAGCGCCAAGCACTGATTGGACTGGGTTGGGCCCCACGCATGGGTTGGGCCCCGCGCGAGCATGCTCGCATAGTGCATTGTAGATAGCCCGACGGTTGCCAGAATAGCGCTGGGTAGCTCCCAGGACGGGTGGATTCAGATAGCTCGGCATTTACCTTACATTGCCCATTGCATATGCGTACTGCCCAGCCTCCAAGGTGGGTGGGTGGGTGGGTGGGTGGTGGGTGGGTGGTGGGTGGGTGGTCAGTGGGTGGGTGGTGGGTGGGTGGTGGGTGGGTTGGGTGGGTGGTGGGTGGGTGTTGGGTGGGCGGGTGGGCGGTGGGCGGGTGGGCGGGTGGTGGGTGGTGGGTGGGTGGCGGGCGGGTTGGCGGTGGGTGGGCGGGTGGGCGGCGGTTGGGCGATCTACGTATCTATCTTTTTACATGTCTACCCATAGATCAGATCGGTATATATATACATACATATATATATATATGTATATATGTATGTATGTCTGCTTATCTGTTTATATATATATGCCTCTGTTGGTGGTTTGGGGGCGGGAGGTGGATGGTATACTCTGGGGGCGAGTCGCTTTTTCAAGCAGGCGCGGCGCAACACCACCCGAACGCATAATGCCACAGCTGCACCACACTCGCTGCGCACGCCAACCGACACGGCCAAACGCCGTTGTCACGGCACGGCCAACAGCCGCTGCACCCTGCACGGGAAGACTGCGCTTTGATTACTACCGATGCCGTCGGCCCTGCTGCACCCCCTGCTGCACCCCGTCGGCCGTGCCACCACGCGGCCAAACGCCGCTGCCGTTCTGCACTCCATGGCACGACACGGCCAAACGCCGTTGCCCGTCCCCGCTCTAATCGCTGTCGTAGCCGTCGGTGATATTGTACCGAACCTTGAATGTAGGCCTCGCTGCACGGGCGCCCTGAAAGGCAGGGTTTGTCGGGATGTCCTCGGCCTGCATCCTGAGAAACTGCTCCCTGACCTCCTTTGGCATGCTGGCGTCGTCGAGCGACGGCCACTCGTGCTCGAGCGCCCGCTTCCGAGTCTCCTTAGTCGGGGCGAAGCGGGGGGGGTCGCCACCGCCGCTTCCTTCCTCAGAGGCTGCCGCTGCCGAAGAGGGGGTGCCAACTTTGCCGCTCTTGCTGTGGTCTCCGCCGTCATGGACATCGGCGGGCTCAGCATCGGGCGTTTCTCCCGACTGAGGACCAGCGCTTCGGAGTTCCGATGGCGTGTGCCGCGGCCCTGCAGAGGGCACGGGGTGCATTGCCGCAGATGGCGGCGTTGGCATGCGACTACGCGCAACAGCGCCGAACGAACACATATGAACGCAGTTCGAGCCAAAACGGCTACGGAAGCAAATGCAACCATCACCTGCCCCGCCACCGCCACCCGCGGGGGCGGGGCCATAGCGCATGGGGGCCCCACCATGTTCACCACGAGCGTTTCGCCTGAGGCATCCCCGATGACATGGATGATGACGATGGCCATCGCGATGGTGACAGTCGGTTGTGGCATTGCCATTGTGGCCGATGGCTACGTGAAGGCGAGCGCTGGCGATGCACTATGTTGCGAGGGGTGGCTGGGTGCATGCATCAATCTTGCGAAGCATCGTGCCTGCGAGTGAAGTCCACAACGGCTGCTTCTATAGCCCCGCGGTGCCAGTCCTAGCAAAGTCAGCACGCGGAGGAATGCTGCGGGGGGGGAGTTGGCGCAGGGGCGGAGGAGGATGGGTTCTGAAGCGGGGCTGGGACTTCGGTGGTAAGATGGGGGACGCCAGGGCGATGAGGAGGAGGGGGAGGAGAAGGGGGATGTTGAGGAGGATGCCGATACGGAGGGGCGAAGATTGGGATCAGCAGGTGAGCGGGGGCGCTGAGGAGGGGCATGAGCGGCGGCCGCGGCCGCCTCGGGAAGCAACGCGTCGAACTGACTGGGGCTACATACAAATCGAATTCGTCTGCTCAAATAGTAAGTTGGCGCGGCAAGCGAGCAAGCTCAGCTGGGGCGCGCGGTCGTCGCCACAACAGGCGTTCACTGAGACGTGCGGCCTACTTCCCGAATACACGCTCGTACGACTTCAGCGCCACGTGGTAGACCTCCTTCGCAACGTCCTTCGCCTCGTCCTCGCCCATGCCACTCGACAAGCACCGCCTCTTGGCGATTCCGTACGCCCTCGAAGTCCAGTCGTTCTTCCCCTTGTGGTAGGTGGCCTTGCACGTGGCCTCGGAGCGGAAGTCGGAGGCGCAGAGCTTGACGACGGCCGCAGCTGGCCTCTTCCTGGCGGCGCCAGTCTGCGCGGCGGCGCCAGCGGCCTTGCCGCCTGTGCGAGCCGTAGCCGCGGCAGCGAGAACGTCGGCGACTCCTAGCCTTGCCCTCCTTCTTCGTGACCTTGGATTTGAGCCCCCCCTTGCCCTTGGCCTTTGCTTTTGCCTTTGCTTTCGGCGCACCGTCGGCCGCTGCCTCAGCCATGGTCCTGCGCTTGCGCAGCTTGGCCGTCTCGGCTGCATCTCTGACGGCCTGCTCCAGGTCCTCAACTGGGTCGTACTCCCGAGCGACGGCGGCGATGGGCGGGGAGTCTCCCAGCATGGAAGGGTGCACAGACGAAGGCGTCGGCGCAGACGGCGAAAGCGAAGACGCCGTCCCCGCCCGAGGCGCCAGCGCAGCCAGCGGGTCGGCCGCCGCCGCGGCCAGCCCACCTGGGGCGCGCGACGCTGCACCATTCTTCGGGGCCCCGAAGATCTGCAACCCAGGGATGGTCCCCATCGCCTGCTGCATGACCTGCGCGAGGGGGGCAATCGCCGAAGTCACCGCCGTTGCCATCATCTGCTCCGTGGAAGTGCCGTAGGGGACAACTGCGCTGCCCTGCTCCTTCACACCTTTCTTGGACTCGCGGTAGGCGCAGGACGCCGTCGCGCAAGGCAGGCCCTCAATCACGAACGGCACGGGCTGATTGTCACCGTAAGCATGCTGCAGGTGGGCAGCGGGCAACGCCGACGGGTCAGCTGGATACACGAGGATGTGTGCCAGCGGGAACTTCTTATCCTTGTCCAAGCTCTTGGCGTAGCTCCTGATATTCTTTCCGATGTTCGACTGGCTGCCCGCGCCCATGGTCGTCACCTTGAGCCCAGCCAACTGGATGATGCTCGTCGCGCGCTTCAGCACCTGGTTCGAAGGGCAGACCAGCCCCAGTTTGTACAGCTGCACGGCCACCATGCGGGTAGCAATATCAACATCGATGACATCACTCTTGAAGTAATCGTGAAGCTGCTGCGTGAAATACCTTCGGGTGGCACGCGGCGGCCGCGTGCCACCCGAAGGGTCGGTGCGTTCTGCGGCGGCGTTGACCGCGGCCGCGATGTTTGCCATCTGGCTGCTGGACCAGGGCCCCAGCTTAGCCTGGCGCGTCAGGCGGGCGGCACCATCCAAGCTCACGGACATCTGGCTGAGGTGGGCTACGAAGGCGCTGGCCTGAGAGTCGGACACGTCGAGGCCAACGGAGCGCTGCAACGTAACGATCTCCGAGCGCTGGTTCAGCTGCGTAACGAGCCCTTCAACCACTTGCTGCGCATGGGGAACAGCGGCCGCCATCGATGCCACCCTCGCACACGAAAACAAAAAAAAAGCTGAGACCAAGCCTGAACACTCGAGCCACAACTGCTGCGGCGCGCCGAGTGTTCCCCCGACGCACCCGCTGGCAAATCCACGCACGGCTGGCGACATCGGGCCAGCGCCCGCGAGAGTAGATGGAGTGGGTATGAGGAGGGCGGCCAAACACTCTGGATGATGAGGGTTTGAGGGTGACGATGCCGCGAGCGAGGCCAACGGCGAGCGAGGTTGCAATGTTACGATTGGGCGGTGCCAAAACGTAACATATGTTACGTTTTAGGGGGCCCAAAACGTAACATGTGTTACGTTTCGGGGGGTGCGATTCGTAACATCGCGTTGTTTGTGCACCTCATATGAAATGTTACGAATCGTGGGGC